CCCTGTTACAAAGACTTCCACCTATCCACTGCATCTCTCATTCTAATGCAGTCATTTATTTCTTTTACGTTTCTTTTAGTATGGTGTGTGCATGTAAATGAATGAAAATAAATGAAGAAATTATGTAAATCTACCCAAAAATACAGTTGAAAAACTTTACATTATAAAATGTACTAAAATTTTTATCTCTTGTGCAAAATACATGATATTTATATCCAAATTATTCACTGTCTTGCAAGGATTCCAGCAAAGCAAATTATATTCTCCTAACTTTAGTCTGAGATATTATATAAGATAAAAACTTAAAGCCTACTGTATAACCAGCAAACCCTTGCTGGGAGGGGGGGGGGGAGTGACATGTTTGACAGTTAGTGCTGAAGGTCTAGTGAAGTATTTACTTGTTTATTTTGTCCTTTAGATTGAGTTTTCTTTTTCGCTTATAAAATGTCATAGAAGTGACCGGGAAAAATATAATTTACATTGCTGGTATTCTTATAAGATAGTGATTAATTTGAATGTAAACATGCGATAGTTTGCACTAGACAAAGCTTTTAGTAATCATTTTGTACATTATTTTGATTACATGTACAGTACAGTTTTGCCCTTAGGACAGTGTAAGCATGTAAATGATTTTCAATAAATAAATAAAGTTACTATCGAGCCAAAAATAATAATTGAAAAGCTTTATGTAGACAGAGCTTGGATGGCTAAATTTTAGAATGACCAATAATTTTAATATAAAAAATGCACAAATATTAAAGAGCACAATTTTCTTGATATTTTCTCCACTGGAAACGAATGTAAACATAAAACAGATTACTAAATTGGCATACTAGCCCATCAGCTGATGCTCAACAAAACGTGTTTGTCGCAAGGATTTCGTTAATCGAAGTTTTGTTCGTTAACCAAATTGGAGGTAATTCGTTAACCGAAATTTCGTTAATCGAATGGTTCGTTAACCGAGGGACCACTGTATATATATACAGTATTGATCATATCCATGTTTCAAGCATTTTGGTCAGTATTTTTATAAGTATAAAAATAGAAATTTCATTTTGATTTCTCTGCCACCCCATGAAGAATTTTCTTGCAAGTTATTTATGTAATAGTTATATACACAATTAACGAATTGTTGGAATTACTTTTTTTTATTTTATACTATATTCAACCTCTCCTAATCTATTTTTTTTAAATAACGAAAAAGTTTTACCATCAAATTTTTGAATTGCTTTACCCTTTCAAATGATACCATATTTTTTTTAAATCGGCCCATAAATAGTGTTGAAATATCTTAAAATACTATAAAAACCCTGAGTAAGCACGTTGGAGCAAAGGCTGCGGCGAGCAATGAAGTGTATGTCTGACTGCTTCAACATGTATTAGCCCCTGTCTAACAGACAGTAATACTTATACAGTATAAATATAGGTTCTATACATCAGGTTTATATAAATATATCACCCACGTAATTTTCCGTGAGCCGTAAGCAGTCATGCACAGACCTTGTGATAGGTATTTTCCACTGGCAAGTCGCATCTCTAAGACGCTAGTCAGCTTTTAAAAGCCGACTCTACCGCCAGTATTCACCCAGCTCTCAGTACAGATGGATGTGTGACAAAGCTATTATTGATAAGCTCCATCAATCACTAACACTCACAGCTCATAGTGTTAATTATGGTGATATCCTAATTGATTGTGCATAATTTATTTTTATAAATAAATGGAGTTACAGACAGTTGAGAGCACACTGACTTCTCCAGAGCCTCTCTCCACATCATAGTAGCATAAGAGAAAGATGCCAGATGGCATCAGAGAAAAGAGAGGTAAGTTATCTATTTTATATTCGATGAATATTTTAATAGCGGTGGCTAATTCGAGTCAGAATGACCTTGAGCACGCATGTGAACAGGGGTAATTAACTGCCAGATCTCCATAAATAACTTTGATATTGGGGGAGTGACTACTGGAAGTGCGTATAGGAAGTGCCTCAGGCATTTTCCCCAAGTCAAAACACATACCCTTTGTGCATACCGTACTTGCAGTTTAAAATCCCACTACAGTGTATCATAGCCTAAGTTCTTATATACATCTAAAATCACATAAGTTCTTACACAGTAGAACGCCGACTTAAAGTGATTCAATTTAAGATTATTGATTTAAAACGACACCCACAATTAAGGACTATGTTTTAATTTAAAGCGAATCTTTCATATTTTGCGCGAGTCAATCTGGTGCAACATATTTTAAAATTCGCGCCTAATGTTTCTCTGGACATGCTACACTGTCCTATGGGCAAAGCTGTACTGTACATGCACTCAAAGTAATGTACTAAATGATTACTAAAATTTTTGTCTAGTGCAAACTATAGCATGATTATACAGGTTGACAACCCTTTATCCGAAATTCCAAAAACTGAAAAGCTCTGAAAACCAATTTTTTTTTTTTTAAATAGGGATTAGCCCACCCAGGCATAGATCACTGATCCACATTGGGACCTGGGGGGTGAAAATGTAATAGTAATACTAATTATAATAATAATAATTATTCGTAGTAAATAAAATTTTTAATTAAAAAATACACCAAAATAAAATAATAATGATAACAATAAGAATAATAAAATATAAAAATAAAATTTATAATAATAATAATACTGTATTAATAAAATAATAATAAAAGAAATACAAGAATTAAAAAAGATAAAAAGTGAGAAAAACGACCTAGACCTATGGATTATTATTATTAGTAGTATTATTATATTCCCCCCAAGGCCCCAATGTGGGTCAGAGACTTGTGCCCGGGTGGGCTTTAAAAAAATAAATAAAAAATAAAAAAAATAAATAAATAAAAAATTCTGAAAACCAAAAAATTCCAAAATCCAAAATGCCTCTGGCCCCAAGGATTTCGGATAAGGGATTGTCAACCTGTATTCAAATTAATCACTACAGTGGTCCCTCGGTTAACGAACACAATCTGTTCTAGAAGGTTGCTCGTTAACCGAAACCATTGTTTCAATGGGTTTTTGGGTAATTGGTTCCAGCTCACCGAAAATTGCCTAAATTCAACAAAAAATGTAGAAAAGTACACTTACTTTGAGGTGTGTATGTAGAAGGGTCCTGGATGATGATGATGATGATGGGCATTAGAATGGGGGTGGAGGAGAAGGGAGAAGAGAAGGCACTGGGGTGGAAGAGAAGTCACCCCATGGTGCCATTTCACCCATAAAATTTTAGTTCTCTTGGTGTAATTCAATTTTATTTTCTTTAAATCAACACTGCACTGCATTATATATTGTCAATATGTAATATAAATTTCAAAATGATCAATAATCTGCTTGAAACACAAAAAAAAGCATTTAGTTGAAGAGTCTCAAGCAAGATGTTACCTCCACTGAAAAGACACAAAGACTGACGCCTGTATGGTGTGTTGAGAGGCTGGATGGCGCACATAAAACTAGTCACTTTACCTTCAATTATGTTCAATAATTGTTAAAATGACTAAAAAATTTAATATTAAACTTTTAAAATTATTGAATAGTATAAACTTCTTGATATTTACTAAAATAGTAAGGAATTTAAGCCCTAGAACCGATTACTGTATTGGCGGACTAATACTACAGCTGGTTGACTGCCAAGTGCAAGCGAAAACTTGTTGAGGTCGGCTCGTAAGAAACTCGTTAACCGAAGTTAAGAATCTTATGGGAGGTAACTCGCTAACTGAAATCTCGTTAACCGAGGGATCACTGTATCTTATAAGAAATCCAAACATGTAAATTATATTCTCCCGGTCACTTCTGTGACATTTTATGATAGGAAAAAAAAATCAATCTAAAGGACATAAATAAACAAATAAATACTTCGCTAGAGCTAGACCTTGGGCGCCAACTGTCAAGCATGTCACCCCCAGCCAGGGTTTGGTGGTTATAGGCTTTCAGTTTTTATCTTATATAAAATCAGACTGAAGTTAGAATATAATTTGTATTGCTAGAATCCTTGCAAGACAGCGATTAATTTGAATATAAACATCATACATTTTGCACAAGAGATAAAACTTTTAGCCCTAAAAAATTAATTAAAACTAAAATTTGTATGTAATGCAAACTATAGCATGTATATATTCAAACTAATCACTATCTTATAAGAATCCCAGCAATGTTAATTATATTCTCCCAGGTCAGTTCAGTGACATTTTATAAGATAAAAACTTAGTGTCACTCTTAAGGGCATAAATAAATAAGCACTTGACCTTGACATCAACTGTCAAACATATCACCTCACCTCTCTCCCTTCCCCCCCCACCCATCTTCCCCAGCCAGTAAACAGGCCATTTCACATCCCATAATTTTAGCTGTATTGATTTATGAGCGTTTCTTTTAACATAATATTACAAAAAATAATATCTTATTTATTCTAGGAGATGGGCTGAGGTGCATCTGGGTGGACTGTCAATCTTTTTAGTATTTTGTGTTTCTCTCAAGTACCAAACTAAATTATTCCATTGAAACAACACTTTGATTTAGTGCAAATTCGGTTTAAAGCGACCTCTCTTGGAACGTATCGTGTTATATCGACGTTTTACTGTATACGCCTAGAATCACTTAATTTAAGACAAAGTTATAAAAAATACAGAAACTGAAAGTAAATAATAATAAAAAGGTCATCAGATAAATGTAGTAAGCAGTTTTCAAACAGGGAGGTTCTACTGCCTGGGAAGATATTGGAAGCATAATGTATTGTCTTATGTATCTGGGCAGGCTAATCCCCTAAAAAAATTAAAAATAAAATAAAGTTTAACTTTATGGGACATCGTTTGTATTGGCAGATGTTCTCAAGTCGGACGTATGTAATCTGGGGACCCCCTGTACTTCATATACGAGCCTGTACAGCACTGTTTTGGATAGTGTTCCATTTTCCAGGAACGTATCCTGAACACTAACCGGGGTATTGCTGTATAACAAATAAAGAACACCAAGCTTAGTGATGGAAGCAATATGTTAACAACTTACATTGTTTAGGCCAGGCATCCCAGGTGGTCCCACTGGCATCCCCCACTGGTTATCAGGGTGTGCACCCCACTGTCCACCCTCCTCTTGAGCCTTGCTGGCATCCCTTGGCTCTGCCTTCTTGATTTCAACCTTCAGTAGTTTGGAAATAAATTTATCAGGTAAAGTATTTGTATTAAGAGATTTTCATGTTTGGCTCATAAGAAATGTATGAGGAATGAATTGTACTTTATGAAAGGTTTGCAAACAAATGGAAATCTAAGTTATACAATTCATCCTCATCTTCAATCTAGACTATACTAATAGTATAGAACACAAAATCACACAAAGAACTTACCGTGGCTAGGTATCACTAGTATAATGCACCTGGTATCCAAAATAAGACTTCTCTTTTAATGACTTCATCATTAATAACAGTCAGTTACTTAATATACCAGAGTGCTAACAATAAAAACTACTACATGCATATACTGTATATAATCAATGTAGACTGCACATAAATTAACTTCTGGAATAATTTGTGAAACCAAAAGAAAAAAAATGGTTTAGTTTTTTAAAACAATTATTGTTCTTATCAACATTAATACTTAACTACAAACTGGATGCTTTCACAAATTCATGCCTGGAAGAATTTTGCATGTACCCCTGGAAGAACCTGGCAACCTTTCTGATTAAGATACTGTACTTTCTATTTTAACAACAGCAAAAGAAAATAAAAAATGTGGAATTTTAAAATGTGCAGGTGCTAATAATAATCCAAGCACAAAGGGAACTGACACATCCAATAACACCCTACGAGATGACAGTTGTTTCTTTACTCTCCAGAAAGGTAGCTCATGGAACATTAAAACTAAAAATACTTAAGACTAATACCTGCTTTCCATTTATGTTGACAAAGTGCTCTGCCACCGCTCTATCCACAGCCTCTTCCGTTTCGAAGGACAAAAATCCAAAGCCTAGTGTCGTGACAACCAAACAGAAAAACAGCTTAGCTTAGTGAGGAAAGATTGGACCTACCTATTGTGAACTACCTACTAGGTGGGTGCAAAACACCTATTTCATCTCAAAGAGCGATCACACTTAAAATTTGCATTATACATTATAAAAAAAAATAAAATAAAAATAAAAATAATAACAATAATAATAATATTGGTAACGAATTGCTGTGATTTTTCCAAAATCAACAGTAAATCCTTATTTAAAAAAAAAAAAAAAAACAATAACCTTGGAAAAAAGTTGCCTTGGTCAGTGACTTAGGTAAGTGTGATGTCTCTGAAGAGTAGGAAGAAGTACACAACAGATGGTCCATCACTTGTACATCAATACTTTGCTGTCCAGGACTAACAAATACCTCTTCATTGTCCATGACTATTTTTCAAAAATTTAAGTAGATATAAATGCTTTATAAATATATATACACACACAAGGTGTATCTAAGTTACAAGCATCAATAACAAAGAAAAATATTTGAAAAATTAAAATCTTGATCACCCCAGCCCTGGAAAATCAAAGAAATGATGTATAATACTTCCAAGTGGTGGCACAAACTCACAAGATGCAATACTGACCAAATTTCATCCCATTCAATTTCACTAGTTCATATCAAGTAGCCTCCATATTGAAGAGGTGCTTCCACAATTTGAAATACCTGTACTGTATATACCTTCAATTATTACTGTAAAATTAGCCAGACTTTACCTGCCTCATGATTCTGCTACCACACTTTGGGAGTTTTATCTTCTCACATTGTACATTTAACAAGAAAAATCTGCAAATTCTTGTATTACATATAGAGCACATACTTATATTGTGTCCTTATGAGCCACATCAAAACTTAATAAGTATGGATGCCTTAATACGATCTTATTAATACAGCTCTTAAATAGTACCAAAGTATTAACATGCAGCAGACATTATAATATATTAAGGCAATCTTAATCAGAATTTAAATACATTAATAAATTATTCAATGAATAAAAAGTACTTGTTATTTTTACATACTGTACAATATACTTGTACATTAAAGAGAGCCGTTATGTCAACCTATTAGCACCCCAATTGATAATTTGCACTGATAACTATAAAAATAAGATAATGCAGCATAAACATATTGCCACAACCATTAAACAATTTTAATATAATTACCAAGCCTTAACACCAACAACAGTCATGCAATACTTAAGAGTCATGTCAGTATGGCTGCAAACTGACAAATTAAAAAATTCTTTCAAGTGGCAGCACTGCCAATTTCAGCTTGATGAATTATACACCACAACTACAACTTTCTGCATCTTAATTAAAATTTGTGGGCATTATTAAACTAAAATATAGAAGCTTTAATCTTGTACATTAACAAATCTAACCCCAATTGTTATGTGATCAATTATCCATCCATTCTCAAGGAACCAAGTGTCACAACATAATGCAAAAATAAGAAGCACCTTTAAAAGGGACTATCTAGCAATGTGTCGCACGCACGCACGCGCACGCACGCACGCGCACACACACACACACACACACACACACACACACTACACAGGGTAGCTTATTTGTTTCTACTTTTGAAAGTATTCCATGGATAAAATTTTAGCTACTTTGGCTGAGGAGTTTGTGGTATACATTAGTTAATTCCTAACTGTTGCCATGAGAGAAAAAACTTAATGTATTATGTTTTTGAAATCTACAGTCAAAGAGAGTATACCGACGCAAAAGTAAAACTCGTAACATATGCAATATTTTGCATTCTGAGAAAAAGTGGGTTATAGAAGAAGACAACATTCCCCTAAATGATCACAGGGGATCTTTGAACCTCGTCTCTCTTATATTTGACAAATCTTAAAAATACAAGTGACATCCTACATGAAAGATATTTATGTTGCATCTTATATCATCTATTTAACAAATTATAAAACTATTGAGAAAAAATTTAAATCGCAGTTGTTCAAAAATTTTCCCTTTCTACAATACATTCCCTTTCATTATTAACTGCTAATCCAATTTGTTTATTGGTTTTCTCACCCACATCAAATTACTCTTAATTTTAAAAAGTATCACTTCTCAATGACCACAAAGATGCACAGTATATCTGCAAGCTAAATAAAACAAGGGTACTTAATTATTTCTCTCTCTCATTGTCAAGATGTTTGTACATTTAGCCAATTTTTTCTTTCATTAATCCAATATGATCTGTGCCTTTATAATTAGTTATGAGTTTACTTTTTCTAATACCAAAAGCTAAAATGGCAAGTCCTGTAAAGAAAATACAAATTCCAATTTCAACAGAACACATCAAATGATGGCAATACAAAATATTTACAGGGGATTTAAAACTCACCTCTAGATTTCTTTTTTTCCTGGTCAAACATGATAACCACTTCCATAACACCTCCAAAGCGTGAGAAGAAATTGCGTAGGTCTGTTTCAGTAAGGTTGGATGGCAGACCTCCAAGGAATACCTTAGGCCAATTCCCATTCCGCTTCTGCTTCTGCATACTACGTGGGTTGCAAGCCTTAGGATCAATCTGGAAAACAAAACTCACAATAAACAAAGAAATACGTACAGCAAATACGTAAAAATAAATAAATTTCTGATACCCAGTAAAGTTCGCTATTCTCGAAAGTTCCCAACATCAATGTTTGCATGAGTAAAAATACCATAAAACAAACATGCAAATGTATCTAATATACTATAGGGCTATCCGAATGTATGTATGTCTGTCTGTCTGTGCAGCCGAAACGGCACAATCGTTTTTCATCAAACTTGGTGGAAGAATCGCTAAAAAATCATAGAGTGGAACAAACCTGGTCCCATGTCGATGGTTTCTTTAGGAAGCCATTAATAAACCATTCTATTTACGATGGAAAACGCACCCTAATTAACCATGCAAGTCTACGGACTTGCCGCACCCTCATTCGCTGTATGCTGTCAGCCGAATACAATACAATACACAACGAACTATAAATATTTGTAAGAATAAAACATAATTATATAGACATGTAAGACTCACAACTTGATAAGATATCCGTAAGATATTAGCTATTGGAAATGTGATTAAATGTTTTGTTATTAATCCAGTGTGAAATGTATCGGTATTGGTGGTACAATCCTAATGGCCTCTAATCCTGTTGATTATGTGAGGTTAATCTGGGTTTATTGAGATTAAAGATAAGGTGTGGGGTTTATTTTACCTGTGTTAGTCTCAGGTACAACCCTTATTATAACAACCTGGACCATGATAATAACAACCACGACAATGATTATAACAACCACAACTATGATCTTAACCACGACCATGATTATAACCACGACCATGATTATAACAACCACGACCATGATTATAACCACGACCATGATTATAACAACCACGACCATGATTATAACAACCACGACCATGATTGTAACAACCACGGCCATGAGTATAACAACCATGACCATGCTTATAACAACCACGGCCATGAGTATAACAACCACGACTATGATTGTAACAACCACGACCATGATTATAACAACCACGACCATGATTATAACGACAACGACCATGATTATAACAACCACGACTATGATCTTAAACCACGAGCATGATCATAACCACAACCATGATTATAACCACGACCATGATTATAACAACCACAACCATGATTATAACCACGACCATGATTATATCACCCACGACCATGATTATAACAACCACGAACATCTGGAAAACGATGTCACTGTACGCTGTCAGCCGGACGGCGGTTGCGCGCTAGCCAAGCACGAGTGTTTGAACATTCACGCCTCAGTAAACTGTACCACCGGACTCGCCACCAGGCACGGAGGGCCCACGATCACTTGTTCTACAACTATACAGTAGCTCATTTTTTTTCCAATATCCAAAATATGCATCGCCCCTCATTCTAGTTTCTGCTTGTGGTTGGTTGGACCCAGACACCTACAATCTCATGAGTTCTGAGTCAAAATGATTACTCACTTGTCCCTCAACAGTCAAGTCGATCAGAGGACGAGCAAAGCAGCTCCTGGGAGAGTAATGTTTAGTCTAGCAAGTCTCTCTCTCTCTCTCCACATACAAACCAACCCTAGTCTTTAGTATATCAGGCACAGTTTGCTTAGCAACGCCATATTCGCTACAGACCAACCACTCTCTAACTTGTTACAACTCGAGTTTCTGAGCTACGGTAAGTTAAATGCGCTTCCTTTTGGGTGCCACCACTACACAACAGTCACACGGCATTAATTCAGGCACAAAATACACAAGAAACAACAAAAGGGCGTGATCGAGAGGTAGTGAGATGGTGTGTACGCACCCTGAGATTACAACGCGCTGTGAGATGTGGACCAAGTCCATTTTAGCAGCGGCGGAGTAAACACGGCACACACACATAAATAAATAAATAAATAAATAATATATATATATATATATATATATATATATATATATATATATATATATATATATATATATATATATATATATATATATATATATATATATATATATATATATATATATATATATATATATATATATATATATAGTGACCCCTCGTTTAACGAACACCTCGGTTAACGTAATTTCGATTAACGAACTGCCTTCCATAAGGATCTTCAATTCAGTTAACGAAAAAAAATTCGGTTAACGAAGTTCTTACGAACCAACCTCAACATGTTTTCGCTTGCACTGACTGGGCAACCAGCTTTAGTATCAGTCCGCCAATACATTAATCGGTTCTAGGGCTTAAATTCCTTACTATTTTAGTAAATATCAAGAAGTTTATACTATTCAATAATTTTAAAAGTTTAATATTCAATTTTTTAGTCATTTTAACAATTATTGAACATAATTGAAGGTAAAGTGACTAGTTTAATGCGCGGCATCCAGCCTCTTAACACAGCAAACAGGAGTTAGTCTCTCTCTGTTTTCACTGGAGGTAACATCTTGCTTGAGACTCTCTTCAACTAAACGCTTTTTTTTCTGTGTTTCCAAGCAAATTATTGGTCATTTTGAAATATATTTTACATATTGACAATATATAATGCAGTGCAGTGTTGATTTAAAGAAAATAATCTTGAAATACACCAAGAGAACTAAAATTTTATGGATGAAATGGTGCCATGGGGTGACTTCTCTTCCACCCCAATGCCTTTTCTTCTTCCTTCTCCTCCACCCCCATTCTAATTCCCATCATCATCATCATCATCCAGGAGCCTTCTACATACACACCTCAAAGTAAGTGAACTTTTCTACCATTTTTGTTGAATTTAGGAAATTTTCGGTGAGCTGGAACCAATTACCCAAAAACCCATTGAAACAATGGTTTCGGTTAACGAACGACCTTCTGGAACGGATTGAGTTCGTTAATGGAGGGGTCACTGTATCAATGACCTCACCAGCCAGGAATCGAACCCTCGACCTACTGGGTGGGACTAGGGAACGCTATCGACCAACCCACAAGGACACTAAACGCAGTGACCGTTGCCCTCCAAAAATAAAAATATGGTCCTACAATGATGTTAAAAGTTTTAGTGTTGTGTATTTATCTAGGAAACACCCCTGTAAATTTTCTTGAAGCACCCCTGTAAATTTTCTTGAAGATCGGTGCATGTTTGTGCTAGCACTGTTGTACCAGCAAGTATTGCTATTTCAGCTTATGCACTTCATAAATAAGTGTGAAAATAGCACATTTTATCACATTTTCATTTCCGGGTCTGGCAACGCTGACCCACAAATTTTCCACGTATTATTTTATTGCATTTAATTTTAATTATGTTCTTTTCTTTTCCCTTAACAGTGATTTGATGTTGTGAATAGAGAATTTAATCATGGATACACGGCAAGATGAAGAGTATGTCAGAATGTTATTGGGCACCGTACCCCGAGAAGAAAAGGAAATAAAGGGCTGCAAACTGCCAACTAATAGGCAGGTCTTACAATGTCTGTTAGCAAACCTTTGGGATATGCATTGGGACCAGGCTTTATCTGCCACCATTGACAATGTGCTTTTACCAGAAGGTGAATGTCCCGACCATTACAGGCAGGAACAATATTGGCCGAGTGATTAAAACTTACTATGACAAAGACTACATGATGCTTATGAAAAAGAATGAGGATAGAAGACGGGCTGATGATCCTGGAATAATGAAGTATAAATCAGAATTGAGCCTGACGATGAAATTTTATAAGAACACAGTGTTGAAAGACATAGCGGCTGCGAAAAAGGGGAAAACTCAGGCCGAACAAGATGCCATCGATACTGACATACTCTTTATGAAAAGCATGCAAAGTGACAGAGTAGCTACCTACTATGGGGTAAACAAAGTACTCACAAAAAAGGTTCAGATGCAACAGAAAAGGCAGATGCGAGAAGAGAAGCGACAAGAGAGAGAGAGAGAGAGAGCAATGTGATCATGCTGAGAATGTACAGGCTGATATTGATTCACATATTAGCTCTAATGAGGATGATGACATTGATGAGGTCAGCACTGCAGAACCAAAGAGAAAACATTGGAGAACAGTGAAAGAGGGCGTTTCAATTTTTGTGCCCCATGATATTCTGAAGTCGGCAGAACTTGTTTCATGCAGTGTTCGAAACATCTCGCCGACCCAGCTGAGTGCAATTGTGTACTCCTTTGTATCTGCATGTGGTGGAGATACACAGAAGCGATACCGAGCTTCCATCGTGTCAGAAATAAGTTTAAAAATCATGGATGAATGGCAACCATCAGACAAAGTACTGGTGCACTGGGATGGTAAACTTCTGGACACACTGGATTCCAAGGGCACTGATGACCGCCTGCCCATTCTTGTGTCTGGTGTCAATGGCACAAAGCTTCTTGGAGTCCCACCTCTTCCGCATTTGACTCAAAAAGCTGGCCTGGTTCAAGGAGACTTGATATCAACAGCAACCAAACAACTTCTGGTCGATTGGAAGTGTGAACAGAATGTCGTTGGTATGGTTTTCGACAACTTCATCCAATACAGGTAAACCTATTTCAAACATCAGCGTGAATTTACCACGACATTAATACCAAAATACAGTGAATGATTTAACAGAAATCTGCACGTGCCTGAAATGGTGGCCTTAAACTACAATTACATTTTTTTCAGGACAAAAAACAGCTGCTTGTGTCTCCCTCCAAAAGGAATTAGAGCATGCCGTATTCTGATGCGCCTGTTGCAGGCATGTGGGCGAAGTCATCCTAGGTGTTTGCTGGGATTGCTTGAAAGTGGAGGGCTCTTCAAGTCGAAACAATGGTTTTTCAGAGGTGAGTCATAAGCTTTACAAAATAAGAAATATTAGTATCTAATGAACAAATTTAGTGGAATTTCTTTTATTAGACTTATAAGATATACTAACACCAAGCAAATAATCGATCATATCAATCTTAATACCAAAAAAACAATATTATAGATTAGTACGAAATACAATAATCCCAAAACTTGCATTTGTAGGTTCAATACCCATTTCTCTCAACTGGCGTGCAATAAAAAAAAAGAAATATTACTACCCCGCAATGCCTGGA